TAATTATTATATATTTATATTGAAACACTTTGGTAGAAATAAAACGACCCATATATCTATTTCCGAGAACAGATTAAATGACCTCAATGATAAAAAAAAAAAAAGTGTTATTCTTTATGGATGTTTTAGGTTGAACATTTACGTTGGTAGGATGTACACATTATCAATGATTAAAAAAAATTTGAATATATAATGGACTGATATTTGAAAGTCTATTTGTAAGCTACAAAAGATTATACCTGGGTTCAAAAACAATATATTCTAATGTGTTAATCAGTCTGCAGAAATAAAAACAGTGGGAAACATGGTGTAAACTGATTCAGTCAAGCAATTTGGTAGAGCAAGGCAAATTTCTGTTACAGAATTCAGTAGCAAAAGAAGAAAAGCTTTCGATCATGCATATTGGCCAAATATATATTCTTCATATATAATATTCGGTTGGTTGGTCATGTAGTTTTCCCTTTTCCTAGGAGTGAGTTTTAAGTTTTGATGAAAATTGCAAACGGGAATCGAACGACTTAATGAAAGAGTAAAGCAGAAGCTTTATTTATTATTATTATTAAAAAAATGAATAGCTTTTCACACTTTCTCCTTCAGATTCCATAACTTAATAAGCTTTCTTTTCATCCTTCAAGTGCTTGTTTTTTTTCCTTTCCCGTCTACATCAATTCCCTCTTTTTATATACATTTATTTGCCCTCTGTTGGCTTATAAATCCACACTACTCTTTATTATATTCTTCAGCCAACTTGTTTCATTTCATAAACAATTCATTCACTCTGAATATCTTCATGACTGGGAAGAGAAATCAAACCGGCAACAGCCCCGTCGGCAGTCCGTCGTCCGGCAACATCTCCGACAGTTCTTCCAAAGAACAAGATCGGTTCCTCCCCATAGCTAACGTCAGTCGTATAATGAAAAAATCCCTCCCCGCGAACGCCAAAATATCGAAAGAAGCCAAAGAGACGGTGCAAGAATGCGTGTCGGAGTTCATCAGCTTCATCACCGGCGAGGCTTCCGATAAGTGTCAGAGGGAGAAGAGGAAGACCATAAACGGCGACGATCTGTTGTGGGCAATGACGACTCTGGGTTTCGAGAATTACGTCGGGCCTCTCAAGGGTTATCTCAACAGGTATAGGGAAACCGAAGGGGAGAAGAATTCCATGGCCAGGCAAGAAGATCATCACCCTCAGCAATCTCCTACGCCGTACGCTGTGATCAGCCACGGCGGAGCAAATGAATTCAACGATGTAAATGCGGGTATATCGTCATCGGCTAATGCTGCAGATCATTTCCAGGGCTATAACAGCAGGCTCTTCCCGCTGGCGACCCAAGGAGTCAACCTCCGAGTTGCGGTGATCATGGTGGAAGAGGGATCGGATATGAAGAAAATTTGATGGCAGCTGCAGGTGGTTTCAACACAAGCATGATCGGAGAAAATGATGGGAATGGAAATGGTAATAGATCCATGGCAGCTCTTTTTCACAGGGTTGACTGGTAGTACTTTGAATACTTGGAAAAAAATCATATACATATAATATGTTGAAGTTAATTTTTCTTTGTCTAATTTGATTAACTATCAAATGACTATATATGAAGTTTTATTAGAAATTCTGCTAATAAAATTACTGTTAAACAGCATAATCATCATTAAAAGCTTAGTTGTATATAATTTATGTTATCTGTTTTTAAAGTACGTATATTTAAATTGTATATCTATCCTGGAGATTTATAACTTCATTAATTATTGGTTTTAATCACGTCTTCAGTCTTTTTATTTTTTAGAATTTTGAAATTAGTCTTTATACTTTTAATTCTAGAAATTTACTTTTTTATTTATTTATGTGATTTAAAAATTAAAGTCAAATATAAAACATTTAACATCTGTGAATATTTATTTAAAATGAATAAATAATGTTATTAATTTAATATTAATTTTTAAAGCTTATCTATTGTACAAAAGTTGGTAGAGAAAAGATGAATTCTAACATGAGAACGGGATATTTAGCCTAATGGGTAGCAGAAATTTTAGGAGTTGATTTAGGGCAGTTTGAGAAATTAATTGCTTTTATTCTGTACTAATTTTGCTATTACGAGAGTCGGGTTTGCCTTAATTAAAACAAAATGAATATTTGCTGATTAAAGTAATTTTTGTGAATACTGACCGGTTAATCAGCCGGAGATCATATTGATCAATATTTTTAGTAGTATAATCATTAAGGAAATTTGGAAGTGTTTATAATTTCTTAATACTTAATAAATATTGTTAAATTTTTATTTTTTAATAATTTATTATTTATCATATAATACCTCAATTTCGACGAGTTTGCTAGTGTCATATTCAACCATCAAAGTGACTCAATTGTTTTTTGAAAAGAAAAAAAAAACAAACCAAAATATTTACAAACATGACACAATACATTTTTAACCCTTATATGCCGACTTAAGTAATCATTTATTGTATTCGGGTGATCCTACCGATACTCCTCTGGTGTTATTGTTATCCTATCGTGAACCACGAAACTTATAACCTATGCAAAAAAAAATAATCTAAATGTTGATCTTATAAAGTTGAATGGTACACATCTACTATAATATATTTCATAAGATTCCTAAACATAGTCATACAAGTCATATATTAACATAAAGGCCACTGAGTATAAAATATATCTTCCATAGCTAGTTATCGACGATTAACGTATATACTCAAGTCTAGAGAATAACACAATTCAAAACACTACCAATATGTGAATATTATAATTACTAACATTAATTTATATATTATTCAACAATATCATCAATCACTAATTAATACATGGCTTTGGGACTTACACGATCATTTCATTAGCAATATATTATTTGATATCACCTAAAATCATATAACACTTAACAATAATAGTAACATACCTAGAACCAACAGGTATCATGTATAGATAGCAAAGTCAAGAAACAGTAATAACACTTGGTATCATTAGGGAATTAAGTTATATATATATATATATATATCAATAGTATTTGGTATCTCTAAGCATTCGTATATCAAATAATAATAGTATCAAGTATCATTAAGCAATCATGTATCGATGATAAATATGATATCCAACATCATTAAGCAAACATATGTATTAGTCTCCACAGACATAAACATAAAGGACAATTGCCTAGTATCAGTAAGTAATCAGATTGCACAATTAAAAATATCTTGATAATTTACTATCACATGTGATCATACACACAAATAAGTGCTCATAGGCCATACATCACAACAATTGCCTTGAAGGTCAATTAACATAGTATGACTATACAATCACAACATTTATTTATTAATAATCACAAATCTTTTCTCAAAATAAAACTTATTTTCAATCATAATTCGTTCTTTCATAAAACATTCTACTTAAGGGTATAATAGTCTTTTTAATAATTTATGACCCTTAGTAATCTTATTAAGTACTTATGAGAAAACTTTTCATAGTGTGAGAAGTTTACCATCCTTTCATTAACATAAAAGTAATTTTGTAATTTTACACTTAAAGATATTTTAATCATTTTAGCATTCAAGGAATTCCTTTAATATCAATAACTTAGGATTTTGAATACCCGTTAATAATTCATAAGGATATTCTATTCATTTCTTCTGATTTAAGCTTTCAAAATCAATTGTTATGTCTTAGGGGTATTTCGATAATTTAACGCTTATAAAGGTATCTTGATAATTTACATCATTTAATGGTATTTCAGTTTTTAATGCATTAAGGCCTCTACTTAGACTCATCTATTCATTACGAATCATGATAAACGTTCCCCACCCCCCCTCAATTTAAATGCTAAACTATGGTTAAATAGCCTTGGGTATCCATACCACCTTAGAATATCAATATTTTTTTAGCAATATCGATATAAAATTGGTACACTATAATTATCGAATGAGTATATATACCTCAAGAATGAGTATCAATACTCTATTTTGCCCAAATTTATGAGATTTATAGTCACTTTCATGTCATAAAACCTTGTATAGTCTCACAAAATTAATACCACATTCTAAGATTATATCAATTTTATGTTGGATTTGTCGGTATACTCTAACATTTCAAAACATCGTACACATATAATTATTAGCACAAGACATCAAACGTGTTTACTACCAATTTAGGCCCTTGAAACCTTAGATAGACACTATAGAGGTACTTTGGCAATTTCTACTTATAATGGCTTTTTAGTTATTTTAACTCATAAGAGTATTTTGGTCAATTTTTCCACTTAAGAGTTCAATCATTTCAACATATAAGGACATTTTTGATATTTTAGCACACAATGATATCTTTATAATTTCTATATACAAAACTATTTTAGTCATTTTACTAATTTAAGGCTAAGAGACCTAATTCATAAGCACTAGAGTGTGTGTGTGTGTGTGTATATATATATATATATATATATATATATATATATATATATATATATATATATATATATATATATCTTCTAATTTAGGCCTTAAACACCAATGGATAGTGAGATTGATGATGATGTATAATGAAGATTTTTTGGACTAAATTAATAAAATTGTAAATGTATAAGATTAAATTTATTAAATATTTAAAATTAAAATGAAATTGTAAACTATAGAAATATCGAGGACTAAATATATTATTATACTAATAACACATAACTAATTCCATTATCACTTAACAACCGGTGACCAGATTATACTACTTTTTTGTTAAAAAATTGTAAAATTTAGTTTGATAACCAAAACAGAAAAGGTTCAACAATTAAGTGACCAATAAGATGATTTACCCAAACTTTAAATTAAACGAGATATCACATATGAATTTGCTAAAACAGCGTTTATAACACGGTTTGAGGAAATTCAAATGTATTCACGGCGTCGTTTCAACGCAGTTTCTGACTTTACAAATATGATTAAGCCAGTGAGTTTTTTTTTAATTTCGTACATTTTCTTTTTCCCCCAATGGACGCCGACTCTTCTTCTTCTCTCGTTCTCGGCAACCCAACGGAACCTGCTTGTGCGTCCACCGAACCTTCAAACCCCTCATCAGAAAGAAGAAAAAGAAAGCTGTTGATAAAGACGCGCCCTCATCGTCTTCTTGCTCCGCTTCTTCTTCTTTTCATAAAGGAACGCGTTTGTCCTCTAAACGCCGGCCTCTTCGGGTTCGATTCGGTTCGGTTCGGCAACCTGAGGTTCGCGACGTTGACTCCATTGCGCTTCCTCTAGGAATGTCCTTCGCGGCCGTTGTTGCTCAGGTTCGATCAAGTTTCAATCTTTTTAATATTTTAACCCAAGGCTAGATGGAAAATTGTAATGCATAGGTTTTCATATGCTATAATTGTTGATCTTTAAGTTGAAATTTTTGAACTTTTTTGAGGGTCATGTTTAGGATCCTGGTTGAAACTTAGGGCTTGTTTAGTCGGGAATTTTTAAAGTTTTGTATTTGACAATTTGGGGAAAGTTTTAATCTTTTTGTGGTGATAATCTCTGATCCTTGATATTTAAGTTTGTTGTGAATTCAAATTGGTATATATTTGAATTTATAAAACTTTATGCCACATTTATTGTTCTTGGTTATGTTTATTTTTAGTGACTTGAAGATAACTTATGACATTGCCTTTATAGATGGCTGATGTAGTTCATCAATAATGTTTGCAATTGCCTCAAGCAAAAGGGAGTGTTGGGCTGATGTAAACCATTTTTGCCTGGCACACTGAAGCTTGAGTTGCAATGCAGAGCTGTCTGGGCTGTTGGTAAAAGCTATGGCAGCTTTTTTGAAGTCTTGCATGACAACAAGGTTCCCTGTTTTAGTTATGCAGTTTCTAAAATTATTTCCTTTATGTCTTGCATGCGACTGCCCATTTTTTCTTTTTGACAATAGCCTTAAAGTAATTCAGACTTTGTCTTGCTTAGTTCGTTTGTTATATCATACAGTGGAGGGGTCAAGGCAGTTTGAATCCCTTCACCCTCTTGACCTTTTTCAATTGTGGCCGATTCTTTTAAAGAAAGCTCCATTTTCTAGAAGGCAATTCTTATATATTTGTTATGTTTTTAAGGATCTCACCAATAATTTTGGTTGATTATGATTATAACATCTTTCCTTGTAATTCTAGGTTCTGGAAAAGACAGATGTTACAAATGAAAATCTACCTCCTGATTATCTCTCGGTGGTATTGTTCGAATTTTCTAACATGATTTTTCTTGATAACTGTTTTCCTTTAATGAATTTAAAAGTTCCTTGCTTGCTAACAAAATTAGTCATTCTTCATGCTTGCAGATCTGCACTTCAGCTGTCAGAGAATCTTTAGCTAATGTAAGCCAGATTTTAAACTGCCAACTAATAGTCTGACTCTGATTTTACAAGTCAAGTTTCTTCATACTTTTTTTTTGCCCTGACCCTCAATGTTGCTTATCAAGAACACGCCTTTTGCTTCTATGGTCTACTTGGTCAGGTTTTTGGAGACAAGTTTGATTGTTTTGTGAGGAACTTCGAGAAATCATTTGGAAGCACCTTGAGGACTCTTAGATTGATTAATGACTCATCAAAACACAAGGAAAAGTATTTGTCCAACCTGGATAATGCGGAAAGTTCTACTTCAGATGAAAGTACAAGCGGAAACAGGTGTTATAGAAACTCCTATGATGCAAAGGATTCGCACTCAGACATTGATCTCCCTTCTGTCTCAACTCGAGATCAATTGAATATCCGTGAAGATGTACAGGAGGATGTCCTAAATGGTCCCCTGAATCAAGAACTTTCCATTCATGGACAAATAAATCAACTGGCTTGTGTCAATCCAAGAACAGGTTCCGACTCCAACCAGTCAATGCTCAGCACAATCGAGAAATCTGTGATAGAGCAAGTTCGTTCGAATGATCTCAAAACATTAGAGCTTAGTCTTACTATGAGAAAGTTGAAGCTGAAAGAGGAACAAGTAGCCCTAAAATTTGATTCAAACCATCTGGAGAGATCAAAACTAGCAATGGGTATATCAAAGGCATCCTTTAAAGCTGAAAAGTTCAAGAACCAACTTGAAGACACAAGACATGCCGAATTACTTAGAACGTGCATCGATTTTCTTGTTGCTGGATTGTTCATCATGTCATTCCTCCTTATGTATGGAGCTTATGTTTACTCTTACGAAAGGATTACTGATGCGACATCATCCTGTATTCCATCTGAGGTAAGGGTGATCACCCTTCCCTGGCTTCAGTTTATCATTTGCCTTCCATGATTTTCCTGAGCATTAGAAGTTCAGTGTTTTGATTTGTTTGACCGTTAGATTAGATGTCTCTTGATAATGATACACGTGCTTGGTAATTATCTTCTAAAATACTTTCTCAAGCCATGAAAACTAATCCCACAACAACACCTTATGGAAGTTTCTCTTTTGGTTGCCAGTTTCTGAGTGAATTATCTAGTTGCCCACTCTGTAACTTTATGTGGAAAATTTATGTAGCCTTCAGGTCTGTAGGAATTGAGAATGTGGTCTATGGGTCAAATTAATGGTGAGAGGTTCTGGAACTAACATTGTTGTTCAGTTGCCCAAGGGCAACTGAAGACAAGGATGGTGGGGTGTAGGACATCATTTTTATAGTGACTGCCTCTATATAGCATATGGTGTTTGTCTTTCTAAATCTTGATATGAATAGTTAATAAGTTTGATGCACATATACATCTCCAGTTTTCATCATTTGCTTTTCTGTTCTGGATAACTATCTGTTTCAATATTATCTATCGACGTTAATGAGATTATCATGCAATTCATGATAAATTATTCTCTTTGTGATGTTTCACCTCTAAGGTTACTTTCTACGTTGCAAAAATATTTTATCATGCCGTGATTTTTTATATATTTTTTTCAGGAAAGCAAGTCCTGGTGGATCCCAAAGCAGGTGTCATATTTCAATTCAGGGTTCCTCACTCTCAGGTGCCAGGTTCAAGTTGTAAGCCGGATGATCTTTGGTCTCATGCTGATTCTTGTTGTAGCTTATTTGCTTATGCGGCGATCTGGAACCTCAAAGCAGATGCCAGTAACTTTTATTCTGTTGCTGTTAGGAATTGCCTGTGGTTTGGCTGGGAAGTTCTGTGTAGATACATTGGGAGGAGATGGATACTTTTGGCTTTTCTACTGGGAGATTTTATGCCTTTTGCATTTCCTCTCAAATGTCTTTACATCAGTGCTGTTCAGCATTCTTTATGGACCTGTTAACGTATCACAAAGGACGAGAAGCACACTTTTTCCATACTGGATTCGAAGATGGATATTCTATTCTATTATGCTTGTCGTTCTTCCTATATTGTGTGGTCTTATGCCTTTTGCCGGCCTGGATGAGTGGAAAGATCACTTCTTGCTTCTGGTTTTAGGTGATGGTGAGGGAATCTAGAGTTGGAAGAGTTGGGTTGGCCCCTGTGAAATTTATGGTGCTTGTGAGGTTGTCGTTCGACTTTTGGAGTAATTATTTTGGATAAAGATGTCAAATTGCTTGCTTGTTGCTCGAAAAGTTTGTCAGCTCGGTTGAAGTATTTTATGTGAGCATTATTTTTGGCTTTCTTCGTTTGGTGTCCACCTCTGTGATTGTCATATATAGCAAGTATATTTCTCTTAGCTGAAAGTTGAGGTTTAAGAGGCATCATCAAGTGGATCTTATTATCAAGCCATTGTACTTATCATTATGAATTAAACTACATAAAGTTAGGAAAACAGCTGCTTCCTTCAGTGTATGAATGCTCGTTATTTATTTTTTTTTGATAGAAGTTGGAGGTCTCATTAAAAACTCCCCTTCGTATTCGTTCACATACTAAAAGTATGTTAACGAACATTGGAAGGAAGAAAAGAGTACCTCAAATTTTATTGATAATAATACCCGATACAAAAGACACCACGGAATATCCTCTCATGGTGATGTGTACACCATTACAACAAACACCTTAACCCTATATATCCTCATCCAAAGCCACAATCTAATCACCTTCTAATTACACCACTAGCAGTAGGATTAAAACAACGCAACAGAACATAATGCAAATTAAAAGCAACACCTACAACCATATAGATAAAAACAAAACCACAATTGAAGAGACAAGATCTAATGAGACTCGTCTTCTTCAGGAGCCCAAGAGTTTGGTTTGAATGAAGGCTCTATCTCATGCACCATGACCTTGAAGAAGTTGTCACCAACCTTCAATTCCACCATCGCATCAATTCTCGCATCAGCCTTTATGAGGACTTGAATTTTTGCCCGATCAAAAGATGATGGAGACTGACAACTTTCGTCGATAGCTAGTAATAAACCCCACTTATCACAATGTTCTTGAAAGTATTCCAATTCCATGCGTGAAAAGGAACACCCTCGCAAACTAACCATACTCGACGACACTCCATTACCAAACTCTGACCAAGCTTCGACTATGGAGAACCACTCTGCGAGAATAATTGATTTATTGTTCTTCACACTTCTTAATGAAGCATTGTCTTCGAAAATCATTAAAATCGCATTACCAGCAGCTCTCATTAAGGTAAAGCCAGTGAGGCCCTTCGCTTGCATTTGTCTAGCGAGATGACCAATTTTGACAAAGTCCTTGCACCACCCCACTAGACAATTGCTCAACACCTGAAGTTTTTCTTCATCTATAACACCTTCAACTTTATAATGATTCTTCCTCGAATCATCTTCCATCCCGGACTTGCGAAGAACACCTGACGAGGACTTCCTCCAATAGGAATGTCGAGGTTTGAATTTAGCATAAGAAACGCCAACTTTGCTGCCATCGATACGAGAGCCATTCATTTTTGAGATTGCTCTCCTTGCTTCTTCAATAGTTGCATACCGAATAAACCCAAAACGGACCCCTTTCGAGTTTCTTTTTTTAGGAATGAAGGCATCAATACATGACCATGTGTGCCAAAAAGACCCAAGTCTCTTCCAATGGATCATCTCTGGAAGGTTTTCGATAAAAATCGTGAAACAACCATTTCTGATCCCATTTCCGATTCTTGGATGACCATCCTTCGACCAATTTTGAAACTCATTTTTTCTCCTTCTCGTTACTTCGGAAAACTTTTCATGGGAGTACCCTTTCATGATGCTCTCCTTGGTTCCATCCTGAACAATATCAGCGATAGGTAAGTTGGTGTTGTCTGCACTACAGAATTAGTTCCGAGCTTTTGTTTCCCTCCTTGAGAAGAAACAGTCCATTGTCATCAATCCTACCAACAGGAGGGTGACAGTCTGAAGTAGCTTTAGCAAAGCAATTTTTCAAACACCCGGTTGATAAAGGACTATCACCCAACCTTGCTGAGAATACTCTTGAATTTTGCTGCTTTTGGGGCGAAGGCGATTGCCTGAAGGTAGTGCCGTCGGCCTCAACTGTCCAACCTGCCTCACGGGCCAAGGCGGCCAGTACATCGTTCATATTAGAACGCTCTGAGAGATGGAAATTACCAAACTGCCGCAATCCGGCCAGCATACGTCTAGTGAAGGCTCGCCTGTTCCGTCTCCGGAGCTTTGTCCTTTCCTTTTCGCTCTCCCTCTCACGTTTTTTCCTTGCCGGAAAATGAAAAATTGATTGCATTGTCAGGTCCAGAGGAAGTACTAATGGAGTTCACAGACGCTGCACCTGCCGCAGTTGTTGCAGCTAAACCACTAGTACGCCTGTGCTTAGACGAGCGTAGAGGATCCATGGAGAGATCTGGGAAAGATGATTTACAGGAAAACAGACAGCTTGGAGGATAGTGTAAGATTTCACCGAACCAGATGGATAGAACTGGGAAGTTGGGAAGAGGATTAACTGGAAAAACAGACAGCTTGGATAGGGTAAGATTTCACCGAACCAGTACACTGGAAATAGAACTGATTTTCGACACTAGGAAAGGTTATGATCGCGAGAAGAAGCTGAGTCCGTGGTGAGGCGGAGACGACCACTAGCGGCGGGAAGAGCGTAAATCGACGGTGAACTTCGAGCAGATCTGCGTCGATTGAATGTCTCAATCGCAAATCTAAAGCCAGATTTGGAATCACCTCGAGTCGGTGAACTTCCCAGGAGAAAAAAGCTTCAAACGGTGGTCGGAGTATGGCGGCGGACGGCGGCGGCAGCAGCGGACGGTTGTCGGAGGCAGCTGACAATGGGTGGATGTCGGAGGAGAGAGAAAAATTTTCAAAAGACGCCTGGGCTTTTGTAATTCGAAATTTGAAAACACCTTGGTTAGAGAGAAGCTGGAGCTTCTCTCACTAACACATATGCATATTCTGTGTGTTCTAATGCTCGTTATTTATATGAGATGTTTTTTTTTTGGCAAAAGAAGGGAGAAAGAAACATCAGCCCTTTCCAGTTTCCAATGTTTTGTCCGAATTATGTCGCATATGAATATTTTAAAAAGAAACGAATAAGTAGAGTAACATTGGTTGATCTCCACTCTCTGTCTTTTGAAGATGTGGATACTGGTGCTAGTGAGCTGATATCTGCCTTCTTTATTCTTTATATTGGCGCCCAACCAAGCCAGTCCAAGATGTATGAACTTTACGTGTTATCTACTGACTACCGCGCTGGTTCAGTCAACTTAAATATGGTTTGTTTATGATGATCGAATGCTAGCAAATGTAGATAGCTGGAGCCTCTCTTTTGAACTTAAAACTGCTTGCTTGAGCTCAGTGTCCCTGCCCTCTTATTCGCCCTACTGAATGTTATCTTTGGCAGGCACTAAATCAAATGATAAACGTTAAAACCAAATTATGTACGAGCTTGCCTAAGTTGTTTGATTTTTGCTCTTTCAAATGTACGAGCTTCCCCACTTAGGTTCCATGTCAATCGTAAGTACGAAGCGGATTGGATATCTGCAACTTATGTAATGTCTTGATCCGGATTTGCAAAATTGCTTGAAAATACATTCCATCCATAGAACTAGAAGATATTTGCAAACCCAATATTATGTCACCGGTACTTCCTGTTGTTGACAATTCCACGTCTTTTCCATAACTGCTTTAGAACCTATACCTAGGCTTTAAATGAGTTGAGTTGAGTTCGAGTATTACTTAGTTAATTCAACTTAAAAAATTTAAAACTGAGCTCGACCCGATTCAAAAGCTTGAGAGTTTAAAATTATCGAATTCGATTCAAACTCGAAATCAAAAATTAAAATTCGAGTTCAAAACAACTTGAACTCAAAACATTCTCATACATGACTCGTTTGAAGCTCAAGTTCGAGTCTGAACTTTAATTACATGAAACCTTATATTGCATTTTTAAAAATAACAATATTTCTAATAATATAATTTTAAAATTATTTTTTTAATATTATTATTTTTTTGAGTTACGAACTTTTCGAGGTAGGTATTAAGAAAACCATTTCGGCTTATGAAGAACTCGAGTCGAGTTCAAGTTTGAATCTAATTTAATTAATTATTAATCGGACCGAACTTAAATAACTTACGATATATCTCGTTTCAATTACAGTTATAACTACACCGTTCCATTGTCACAGTGCACTAGGGATAAAAACGCCTTACTTCTAGCTCTGGGGATGATGTCTATGCATTAGGAGTAATCCTGATGGAATTGCAGTTTCTGATTTTTTTGGGTTAGAAGTAGAGTTGCACAGAAGTCGGATATTAATCCGATCCGGATCGGTTTTTATCCGATCTGATTTTTTCTTATAGAAAAAAAACCGGTTTATAAAATAACCGGTTCAGTTTCTAACCGGTTTGGAGGGCCGGATATCCTAATCGGTGTAATCGGTTTCGGTTTTAAAAAAATCGATTTTTTTAAAAAACCAGTTATAAAAAAACCAATTTTAATATTATTAAAATTACATCGTCATCAATTGTAACAAAGTTTACGATAATTTGTTGAAAATATTTTGATATTTCGATATAACAAATTAAGTTAAATGAATTTTAAGATTTTTCAAATGATTTTCTAATAATATTCGATATAATTATTCGAATATCCAAACATTACTCCAAATATTTCAAAAATCATTTTTAACCCAGACCGGGTTTTTTTTTCCGGATAAAACCCAGTTTTTTATCCGGTAAAAAAACCGATCTAGGTTTTTTTTCTCAAAACCGGTTAAAATAACCGGTTTAAAAAAATTCGATCCGGTTAAAAAAAACCCGATTTTTCTCAAATCCGATTTCGGATATTTTTTTTTAAAATCGGATATTCGAATTTTTTGTACACCCCTAATTAGAAGTAGGAAGTAGGAATTTTACAAACAGACTTGGAAGAGAGATTTGCAACCCCTTTCAAGTGAGGATCAAACAAGAAATACTGTCTTGTCAAATAATCAATTGACATGCTAGTCACAATCACTTTACATGAAAAATTTAAACAAAACAACAAATCTGATAAACTACCCAAAATCACGCAAGGAAAAAAATAATATGAAGTTAAAAAGAAAAAGAAAAAAAACCAACAATGTGGTCAACGAACGACAACAAATGAATTCCAAGACGAATATACAAAACTTCAAGGGGTTATTGAACAGAGATACTCGTATACTTGTCCGATGTTAGGTCTCTCATTTACAGGAAGAATACACCTCAGTGATATGGCAAGCAAATCATCCATTGCTTTTGTGTGTTCTTCCCCACTAGCTATGTCCCTGTCAATACAGTCCATTCCCCGTCCTTCCTGATCGCATAACCGAACCCAATCCGTCAGATCCACTGCTCCCGATTGACCTGATATTATGTCACTGGCACTTCTTCTTGTTAACAATTCCATCAGGATTACTC